GGCCATCGAATCGTCCAATCGTCGCTAGGCCCTGCTTGAAGTCCGTACGTGAAAACATTTGTCTTGGGAAGAATCTTTTACATAAGCCGTCTTTTTGCTTCAAGTCAGCATGCGGTGAAAGCATTTGGCTAGGAAGAACTTTTTACATAGGCTGTCTTTTTGCTTGAAGTCAGCGTACGGTGAAAGCATTTGTGCTAGGAAGAACTTTTTACATAAGCCGTATTTTTTGCTACCATTCTTTCAATGTGCGGAGCAACTTCTAAAACTAAAGGCTTTCTTGCTTAACCTCTTCGGTTGCCTAACAACTCTTTCCGTGCTACTGTGCCATATCGCACGACTTTAACACGCTACGAAGCGTGTCATTTAACACGCTGTTGAAAATAAAAGATTGAGCGTGTTAAGACGTGAAAAACAAAAGCTACCGTGACACTCTTTGTTTCCTTGTTAATAAATGCGCATATGCGTGTCACATATCACGCTTAGCGTGGCGTGTCATCGCACGCGTGCCCGTGTTATCACCATTATGCTGGAAATCCTGTGGAGGGTCACAATTATCTTAAGACTTGAGTCCAATATTGAAAGTTTTGGTTTGTAGTTAGCCCCTAGTTTACTTCTGTTGAGTTTTTTTTTTTTTCATTGTAAGTTTGTTGATCCGTTTGTTCTTTTTGTAGGCACCGTAGTTTGTTTGTATGTGTTAGCAATAGACTAAGATAACTACCAAGACAGGTTTTCAAACATAAATAAAGGGGGTCAGTTTCTAAAGAAACTGTGGTGCTGCGTCAGTGGGGGTAACATGGTAAATTTTGTCAGACAAAGGGCTAATGCTCAAAATGTCAGCTTTTTAACTCTTTACGGTGGCCAATTTACAATTTCAACTTAGCTGAGGTTTTCAAACAAGCTACCAATCGTTTATGTGAATTCTATGCACAGGCACTAATCAGTGTTGCTCACCTAATGTGATCAAACTGCTTCAAATTAATTAAACCTATTATGGTTTGATCAGTTAATTATTACAAAATTCCAGGAACTTGGCGAGATGAGATCTGGCCTGACAACTGGACTGCTGTTACACAGGTATGTTCAGTGACGTTTTGAGTATGATGTATTAAATGTGAATGCGATGTTTGTGCTGTCTGAAGAACCTGGACAATAACAGAAACATTTGCCTTGGTAATGGCTTTTTTACACTGAGTCCAGGGTGTGGCGAAGGTTATCCGAACAAAATAAAACTTGGACAACGAGCGAGAACAGCAAAGGTTTTAATTCGTGATCCGAAAAACTACGCAATAACACAACAAGATGGCGGGTCCGACAAGCACATGTTTTTGTCTCTAGACTGTGGGGGACTAGGTTCTATTTTGATAGAATCCGCTGGCTAACGGGCAGTTGGCAACACAGGGATTATAATTATTTGAATCTTACCGTTTGGTTACTTCAATGGGTTTTTGGAAGCTGCTCAGGATTAACCTGTAATCTTATTATAACATAACAAAGTTAAAGCGCAGGCTCTAATTTGTCAATTCAGTGTCCATCATTTGCCTAAGGGTGTACGCAAATGCAGAGACCTGTTTTTGCACGCTTCTTTTTCTGATTGATTCGATCATTGATGGAGTACTCGCAGAGAAGCTCCAAGAGAGACTGCTTGACCGTGGAGAAGAACTAACTCTAGCCAAAGCCATCGAAATAGGACAACAATGCGAAATGTCCCAGAAACAAGTACGCGTTGTTCCCGACGAGGAACCTCCCATCTTAGCACTGGATCACAAAAAACCGAAATGTCCACTTAATCCGAAGAAAACTGACTCAGGAAAAAAAAGGCACTGCTCCAGGTGTAGCAAAGACCCTCAGCATGACTGGAATCAAGGAAAATGCCCTGCCCTGGGATCCACATGCTCTTACTGTAGGAAGCCTAACCATTGGTTAGCAGTAGGCAACCGCCGTCTTCGTGTACACAAAGTCGACACCAGCTCAGAGGATGACTCATAAGCAGAGGTGTTGCACATCCACATGACTCAGCCTGCCGATACTGTGCCAGATGTCAAGTGAACCATAAGATGCAGAGTAGAAAACAATCAAATCAAGTTTAAAATTGACACAGGCACCCGCTGCAACACACTTACCCTTTCTGACTATCAGAAGATCCAACACGAGGGCGAACTCAAAAGATCAACAAAAGTGCTTCGTACTTACTCCAACCATCAGATTAAGCCTGTAGCAGTGGCTGAATTGTCTTTGGAACATAACAGCAACCGGGCCATCACCACATTTCAGATTATTGACATCGACCAAGAAAACGTTCTATCAGGAAACACAGCTGAAGCACTACAGTTAATCTTGAGACTAGCATCTGTTGACACAACCACCACCACCGACGGAGATCGAGTTTCCCCAAGGAGTTCATGAGTTCCCAGACCTCACCCTAACAACAGGTACACTGCCTGGAACCTACACAATCAAATTGGAACCTAACGCTAAAGGTGTGGTCCATGCCGCCCACCGCCTCCCAGTAGCACTAAAGGAAAGGGCCATCAACAAACTCCATGAAATGGAATCCAATGGCCACATAGTCAAAGTAACAGAGCCAACCGAGTGGGTCAGTTCCATGGTGGTTTCGCTTCAAGGCAAGAAAGTCCGCATCTGTGTTGATCCCAGTGACTTGAACAAGGTCATCAAGCGTGAGCACCATCCTATGCAAACCATAGAGGAAGTCATCAGCACAATACCCAATGCCAAGGTATTCTTCAAGCTAGATGCGAAGAGTGGATTCCTCCAAATCAAGCTTGACGAAGCTTCTTCACTGCTCACAACGTTCAATATGCCACTTGGCAGGTACAGGTGGTTGAGACTTCCATTTGGAATCAAGTGCGCACCCAAATTTTTCAGAGAATCATGGACCAGATACTGGAAGGAATAGAGAGAGCTACAGCTATCATGGATGACATTCTAATCGCAGGATCAACCACCACACAACATGATGCAGTGCATCACAAGGTCATCGAAAGAGCAACCAGCTACAACTTGATGCTGAATCTTCAGAAGTGCTTAATCCGACAACCAGCGGTCCCATACATTGGACACCTCCTAACATCTGAAGGATTATAGCCAGACCCATTGAAGGTAGCAGCTGTCTGTGCTTTGCCCACTCCAAGGAACAAAGATGATGTTAAACGATTCCTAGGATTGGTCACCTACCTTGCAAAATTCATTCCCAACCTGAGTGATTTGGATGCTCCACTCAAAGAGCTGCTGAAGACTGACGCCTTGTTTGACTGGCAACCACTTGAAGAAGAGGCTTTTCCTGAAACTAAAAGAGCTATGTTGCAGTCAACCAGTACTAAAATGCTTGGACGTCAATAAGCCCATGGAAATACAGTGTGACGCAAGCCAGCACGGCCTCAGTGCCGTACTTATTCAAGACGGCCAGCCTTTTGCCTATTCTTCACGTTCCTTAACTAACGTCGAAGGACAATACGCACAAATAGAAAAATAAATGCGGTCCATCTTGCATGCATGCAAGAAATTCCATCCCTACATCTTTGGCAAGGAAGTGACCGTGTACAATGATCACAAGCCCCTTGAACAGATTCTGAAGAAACCACTTTTGGCAGCACCAACGCGGCTAAAGAGAATGATACTAAACCTTCAGTGGTATGACCTGACCGTAAAGTACCGCAAGGGCAAAGAAATGTATCTCCCTGACACACTATCAAGAGCATGTCTGCCTGGTACATCCAATCATAATTAATAGAGGGGACTGGTTATGAAGGCTGGCATACATGAAGGGGCCGGCCTATTGTTCGGCTCCTGAGGTTGAAACGTACCGTGACGTCACGCGAACGTGCACATCCGATCCTGAAATCAACAACTTGGAACAAGTAAGCACTCTGGACTTCCTATCCATCACCAAAGACAAGTACACGGAATTGCAAGAGCATACTCAGTGCGAGCTTAACCAGCTACAAACAATAATCTTGAATGGGTGCCCGTATTGGGACTCTAGAAATAAACTAGCTGTATGCGATGGAATCATTTATAAAGGAATGCGAATCATAGTGCCCCGCAGTCTACGGCGACAAATGCTGAACCTTGTGCATGAATCACACCTGGGTATAATTAAATGCAAACAACGTGCTTGTGAAGTGTTATATTGGCCAGCTATGAACTCCGACATTGAGGAAACAGTTAAGAACTGTACTAAGTGCGCCGACTTTCAAAGGAAACAACCCCTGAGCCGCTAATACCAACAGAAACTCCTGGATTACCCATCATGATGGTGGGGACAGATCTCTTCGAATTTGAGTCCAAACCCTACTTGTTAACAGTCGACTACTATTCAAAGTTTATTGAGGTCGACAGGCTACAAGACATGAGAAGTAAAGCAACCATAAAAATACTGAAAGCACAGTTCAGCCGACGTGGCATACCTGAAGTGATCCGAAGTGACCGGGGTCTGCAGTTTGCTTCAAAGGATTTTGCAAGATTCTGCAAAGAATATGGCATTGCCCACAAGACTTCGAGACCCCACCTTCCCAGTGCCAATGGTGAGGCCGAAAGAGCGGTGGAGACAGTAAAGCGTCTCTGGAGGAAAGCTGCTGATAAGCAACTCGCCCTCCTGGATTACAGGACAACCCCACTGGAAGGAGTCAACCTGTCACCAGCACAACTACTGATGGGCAGACGCCTGAGAAACAAACTCCCCTCTCTTCGTTACCTACTCACACCCACAGCATACAACCATCAAGACATAATGCAACGTTTAAACCAACAGAAAGCAAACCAGAAATTCTACCATGACAGCAAATCTGCAAGTGAACTTCCGCCCTTGCGCCCAGGTAGCCAAGTGAGAATGGCACCCAGTCCAGGATCCAAAATGTGGAACCCTGCCATCGTTGTCAAACGACACATCAGCCCGCGCTCTTACATTGTGGAGTCAGGTGGGCATGAGTACGGCCGCAACTGGAGACACTTGCGTTGATCAACTGAAGCTGCCAATACTACTGAGCATTGCTCAGATCCTGTCGTAGATGACAGTACACCCCATCCCAATAACGCTCTGTCTTCCTCAGCGTCCATGGAACCCTGCGACCGTTCATCGAATCATCAACCGGAACCTGCCACAACCTCCAGTGCTGAAATCTCCCAGTCAGATGAGCCGTACACAAGCAGAAGTGGTCGCGCGGTTCGCTGCCCTCAAAGACTTGACTTATAGAGTCACAAATTGACACTTGTACAAATATGGGTACAGTGATCTGTCATCCCTGCTGTTGAGTTCGATTCCCTATTGTTCTTATTGACTTGAGGACATTGGACATTTGTAGAGTTCTGCATTATTAATTTTAGGACATTACATTATTGACTCTAGAACGTTTAGAGTTGCCTCAGCCAGGGTTTATTCCTGAGCCAGGGTTTGTTTCTTCCTTTCACATATGAGAAGAGAGATGTAATGTATGCGGCCGATACCGGCCAGCGGTTTATATTTGTATCGCATGCTCACAAGGTCAGAATTAAACAACATGGCTTCTTTATGTTACAGGAGGTTTACTAAGCACTCAAGAACCTCTAGTTGCTCTCGTCTATCTCCTCGCGCGACTCTTATGCTTCTTTCGTGCTTAGCAACCTCCAGCGTAGATCCATAGCTCAATAGTGTACAGGTTCTTTGTGGTGTTTACAATTTGCTAATTGGGCTACAACTCCAATATCTTTTCCTTGCAGGATGGCAAGAGGTCAGCTCAGTTTGAACAGACCCTACTAGTGACTGAAACTGGATGTGACATTCTGACAATCAGACCTGATGACAATGGAAGACCGCATTTCCTGTCTCAGATGTAAAGCCT